TTCCTTAATTAATTCATTTTTGATTCGTTCAAATCGGGCTCGGTTCGCCCGCCAATGGCACCAACCAAGCGAACAAATAGTCACTTTCCTTTTCTTACACATACAAAATACCGACTATTTGTCTTTTTTCGTTAATTTCGTTAAGAAAAAAAATTAAATTACATGTAGGTTGGTAGTAGTTTTGTAAACAAAACATTTTCTTCATAAGTCTTGCTGTTGAAGTGGTGTTATTACGAAATACCTATTTGAGCGCGGGGCCCCCCAATCCGCGGGGCCCGTAGCATTTGCTACTCTTGCTACGTGGCTAATCCGGCACTGACTGTGTACTTTTATCCTTACCTATAACCGTCAATGTACTTTAAATACCAAAATAAAAGGTGGCAACCCTAGTTGTACTCGTTTTATAAATCTACATCTATTTATATAAAAATGAAATCCGTACAAAAATGAGAACGGTTAGACCGATTTGGCTGATATTTTTATTGTTGTGTTTGTTATTGTCAGTAGAAGGTTCTTATGGCAGAAAAAAAATCCAAAAAATCCTACAGAAGAAGAAGCTAGTAAGAAATTAATTTCACGGTGTATTATTCAATGTTACCTATAACTATGAATGTCCAAAAACCACAATAATACTTTGCCCGACCCGCCCGTTGCCCGTTGTATTACATTATTACAACAACGATGTTTAACATTATATGTATAACTTAATCTTAATAGTCGGTAGATGGCGGCTTAGTCGCTAAATAGTCGAGAGCTCTCTGTATCGCGGCTGGTATCGGCGGTGGTGTGGGTATGTGGTCGCCCTGGGCTACGAACCCGTTTTCTCCAGCTGAGTATAGCACGTTGATCACCTGTATTGAAAAAAAGGCATTATTAGATTATGCGTATAGTTTATCAACTTATAGAAGACGACGAATGTTTGAGGAACTAATAACATTAAATCTATGGCAACACTTAATGAAAGTAGACCGGAGGTCTAATTACCCTCCCCTTCCCCAATCTCCCCAATCCATGAATCCCCAACGATCCTCAAACTCCTAATCCCCAAAAAGCCGGTAACGCACTCTCACGCCTCTGGTGTTCCAGGTGTCCATGGGCGACGCCGATTGCTTACCATCAGGTGATCCGTCTGCTCGTTTACCGGCTTGTGCCATAAAAAAATACACTGAATGTCATCAGCTGTGTTCGAGTTTGTTTTGTGAATAGTTTTTTTGTTAAAAAGGTTAGAATTTAAATGAATAGAACGGATCTGGACCAGCGTGCATCCAAGCATTTTTATCTTGTATATAATCATTAATTTTGTAATATGCTTGTCTACATAAAGTTCCTCGTCGAGTACCGTCATTATAGACACAATAATAGAACAAAAGGTTGCGGTCACCGGTGACCGCTTGGTGTTTGACAGTTTAAAAGATGTCTAAGAAACATGCAAAAGAACAATACGGAGTGGTGTTCGACTGATTGTATTTCGAGTATAAAGTGATTTTCAATAGAACAAGAAAATGCAAAACAAATTAAGATTATGTTTTGACGCTAAAGAAACGTGACGTCACAATACACAATCTCGTACAAAATTCATAGAAATCTGTCGTTTTTGACAGTTCGAAAAAAGTATTGAATTTGACTAGTTGGCGAGTACCCGATTATAATAAACAACAGAGATGTTTTTTTTTTTATTTGAACAATCTAAGAAATAGACAAATATTAAAAGTAGATTCATAAAAAAAATATCCGTTCCAGAAGCACGAATATTATCGCATTCGTAATTCGTATCGTAACAGTATCGAGCGAGATCGGCGTTCTGATTGGTTCACTGGAACCGGCCAATCAGAGCGCCGATCGCGTCAAAGTCAAAGCATTTATTTCAATTAAACCATCATTTGGTACTTTTGGAACGTCATCAAATACAAAATAAATAGATAATAAATAAATAATACAAAATAAATAGTCTGTCAGTCAGTCCGTCAGTGAAGCTAGGTGAAACTAGGTGCTCATTCCAAAATGTAGATTCGAATGGAGAATAACGAGCAAGAAACTCCATTCATTACTCTTTTTAAAAAAATATGTTCTACAATGTCTCTGATACATATTCCAATACTGTACGCATATGTAAGAACAATGCAAAGACACGTTTGACGCATTATAGGTACTAATTACCAACCTTACTAAAATAATAAAAATAAAAAAGATCTTATAGTCTAACATGGTGCTCACATATGCATACTGACAATCCATAAAAATAGTGCTTCTATACAAGAAAAAGGAAACTCTTTGTTTCAATAAAGAGACAAAGTTCTACTATTAAGTTCGCTCCTATAAGATACTATTAAGCGCTCGATACTATTAAGTTACGAATGCGATAGTTAATCGTGTTTGGCAATCAGATCATCACATATCAGTTTCTGTATCTATTATGGAATAACATGATGAGGTGATGAGGATATGCTCACCTGGCCATCAGGAGCTGTGTATTGGTACTGTCCTTGTACCAGCAGACTCGGTTCCCCAGCGCTGTTTGGCTCCAAACCACCTTTTTGCTCGTGGTAAATGCCTCCAGCTGTAAATTTTATTGAAATATTAATTCAGAATTGGAGCTATTTTTTTGTGGGACAATCTGGTTAACGAGCAGACTAATCACCTGATGGTAAGCAATCGGCGTCGCCCAAGGACACTCCCGACATTATAGGAGTTATGATTTTTCTTATGATTTGGAAATTGGAGGAGGATTGAGAGTCTTAATATCCAGGGTGCTTACTCTTGAAACCAATCTCAATGTCAATGCAATTTCAATCCAATAAAATCTCAATAATTATTCAATGTCAACACTATACAACCACAATCGTAGCTGTTATAGCATTCAGAGTACGGAATATAAAGACAAACTCAATACCATTTAGTTCATTTTATATTCAGTAAATACGGATGCAACACAATTTTTTATGGTTTTTGTCTTCTCCTCTTATAATATCCTCTGATTCGCTTCGTTGCGGGAACCAAGACAGTTGTCCATGTCCCTGGGACGCGCCGGACTTCAGAGTTCCGGTGTTTTTACGGTTGTATAGATCTACTGGATCCTGGACTAGATCCTGGCTGGAGTTGCAGCGGTTTTGGGAGGTAGTGGCGGTCTTGTCCCAATAAAAAAATACTATCGCGATGCTAGTAGACTGCGCGACATCGCAGCGACCGCGCACTCTGCTCATGAGGAAGAACCCCTCTGTGGTTCGAAACGAAAGCTTTTTAGAGTATATTCACGTGAGTAACCCGCGATTTTTAGTTAATTTAGTATGTCTCACGATAAATGAAATGGTTTAAACAAAATTATTATTATTAATTTCGGCTGTATGGCAAGCTAGATAAAAATGGTATCATTAGGTACATACATGTTTGCAACGCCCATCTGTAGGATCCGTCCTCGTGAGGACCGTCGAAGTCTTGTCTGATGATCTCGTCATCTTTCTGACATGATGACAGTGTGAGTACTGCCAGGATCTGAAATAAGATGAGGTATTATTATTAGTAGTTAGTAGGTAGGTGCCTCGTTGGCCGAGTGGTTGCAAGGGGTTCAGGGTTAGATTCCCGAGTCTAAAAAATTCTCAATAGTAGCACGGCGTCTGGAATTGTGTCCGGTATATGGCCATATGCTCACCACCTATTATATGGGATTCATAAAATAAATAGTGAAAAGTGGGTGTTACATTGTACAGTGGCATTAGGTGTCGTAATGTGCACCTCTGCCTACCCCTTTTCGGGGATAAAAAGGCGAGATGTTATGTTATATTAGTACGGAATATAAAGACAAACTCAATACAATTTAGTTCTTTAAATATCTACGCAATACGGATGCAATGGGCGCTAGTGTTGCAACATTTCACAATACCAACGTCGATCGATCGGAATTGGATTCAAGAGTAATTGCCCCCTGATCTGCACTACACTCGATACATTATCCACAGCGCCCTCCACGCCGCTAGAGACAAGAATGAATGGAGAAGAATCATCCATGAGAAGGTGATGCAGAAGAGTGGTCTCGACCTTCAGCACTAAGGATAACGATTCGAGGACGAGGAGAATCCTTACTTCCTTACTTTATATTATAAATCGGAAAGTGAGTTTGTTTGTTTGTTCCGCTTTAACTCGTAACTACTAAACCGATTGCTTTGAATTTTTGAAGAAGTATAGTTAGAAGTCCGGATTAAATAATAGGGTACTTTTTATCCCGGAAAAATTTGATATTCCTGAGGGAAAACAAAAGTATTGGTATAGATGGCGCTGTGTGTATTGGTATATGTCACATTGGCTTTTTATCCTTTTGTGACGCGAGGGAAGCCGCGGGTAAAAGCTAATATATAATAAAGATTGAGAAGTTTTTATTAATTTGAGCTTTACACATGTTGGAAGCCCTTATAGTCAGGGGCCCCATATAATTATTACGGCAGATATGGCGCTAGCTAGGTCTTGGTGCGGAGCGAGGGGGACTGGGATGCCGTCTACTCCTTCTGCAATGCAGTCATGCTAGCCAAGGAGGAGGCGGGACGCATGATGGAACGGAGCTCCTTACACTCCGGGCGTCGGAGATCGCGCGACGATCTCCAGCTACCGTAAGTGTGGGTCTGCGGACTGCGAGCAAGGGTAGCTCGCCGCCCGAACAAAACCAGTTTCGCGCACGCCTCAAAGAGCCATCAGACCACCACTGATGTGCCCAGTCAGGCTAATGCCTGATTATAATGTAATAATAATAAAAGATTTCAATCGTGGCTGTATATCGTTCACCTTCTCTAAAGACCCGAGAAAACTTCAACAACTTTGTAAGTAGCCTATCCGAAGTGTACGACAGCCTACCCACCGATATAGTCGTAGTTGGCGACATTAACATCGACATATGTACTAACAGCTCCGACCCCCTACGTGATGAATATTTGACCTTCAATGCGACCCACGGACTTTTCCCAACCCACACCTTCCCTACGAAAAAAACAACTTGCCTAGACCATTTTGTCACAAAACCTAATTTGTTCGCCCAAATCTCTAGTACTTGAATCCCACGTAACAGATCATTTGCCAATAATCCTATCCATAGAAACAAATACCTCTTCCCGTAAACCGGATACAACTAAAACTCTTTTAAACTACGACAAAATAAAAACAGATCTAGAGAGCGCCGATTTTACAAACGTGTTTAAAACTAATGATGCAAACCTAGCTACCAACACACTTATAACTACCATCTCAAATGTCATACGGGATAATACTAAAACCGTCACAGTAACTAGAAAATGCAGAATCTTAAAGCCGTGGATATCACCAGGATTACTCCGTTGCATGAAGCATCGAGATAGACTGCATAGCAAAGCCAAAAAATCGCCAGACAACATGACCACTAAATTAATCTACACGCGGTACAGAAATTTTTGCAACAGCCTTCTACGTAAACTAAAGACTACTTACGAAAAAAGCCTAATTGACAAAGCTGGTAATGATACAAAAGCCCTCTGGACAGCAATTAAAAATATAACAAACACTCAAAAAGTTAAAGTTAATGCCACAGAACTCCTTCAATCACACAATGACCCCAAAACATCTGTGAATCACGTTTGCGGTTTTTTCGCTAGCATAGGAAAAAACCTGGCAGACAAAATACTCGCCTCCACACCCGCCCAAAGCAACAATCCAGAAACACTAAGTCTTAAAAATCTGGCCTCTCTAAATAGCCCGACTAATTCAATAGCTCTTTTAGAAGTAGAAGAGTCGGATATTGAACTCATAATAATGCAACTACGCTTTGATTGTGCCACGGGATGGGACGGGATCTCATCACAAATAATAAAATTTTGTCGTCACACCCTAATACCTCCCCTCACCCATATTTGTAACCTCGCAATAAGCTCAGGAGTTTTTCCAGAAATGCTCAAAAAATCGATAGTACACCCGATTTACAAGAATGGGGACAGAGACTGTGTCAACAATTATCGCCCTATTGCGGTTCTTTCCTGCATCTCGAAAATTCTTGAGAAAATTCTAAATCAGTCACTCAAGGGATTTTTGGAGAAATTTAAAATATTAGCTGAGAATCAATACGGTTTTCGCTCTGGTTACTCTACTGAGGATGCCGTAATTGACTTGACAACAGAAATTGCTAAATACTTGGACACTAAAAACAAATGCTTATGTATCTTCCTGGATCTTTCTAAAGCATTTGACACGGTCTCTGTTCCCATCCTCCTTGCCAAGTTGGAAAAACTAGGCATACGAGGTAATGCATTCAATATACTTAAGGACTACTTATCCAATAGAAAACAACAAGTTAAAGTAGGTAGTATGAATAGCGATGAGGTTACAGTGTCGTACGGTGTTCCACAGGGGAGTATTTTAAGCCCAACCATTTTTCAACTCTACATAAATGATCTCTGTCGAATCTCTCTTCCAAACACTAACATCTTTACGTATGCAGACGATACAGCAATTTTCGTCTGGGGTCCGAACTGGAATGCCGTAAAGTAGATAGCCGAATATTCCCTATCTAAAATCATGAACTGGCTTTCAAACAACCTGCTGACGTTAAACCTCTCCAAAACACACTATGTTGCCTTCTCGATCAGGAAAACTAATTCCCCACCACAAAACTTCTCTATCATAGCCCATAATTGCTCTCTTCGGGAAGTCTGTACATGCCAACAAATCGAACGAGCCGAGCATGTCAAGTACCTAGGTGTATATATTGATGGTGGACTGAGGTGGGACAAGCAGATAGACACAGTCACCTCCAGAGTGAGGAGACTTATACATATATTTAAAACACTCAGAGACTGTGTTCCATTTGAGAAACTAAAACTCATCTATCTGGCCCTTTGTCAGTCCATTATTCAGTATTGCATTCCGGTTTGGGGTGGCGCTGGCAAGACGCTCCTTCTCAGACTGGAAAGAGCACAGAGAGCTGTGCTCAAAGTAATGACCAAAAAGCCTTATAGATACTCCACCGAAAAACTTTATTCAGACTGCAAGGTCTTAACAGTTCGACAGCTCTTTGTGCTCAAGTCCACCATGAGAAGACACCGAAGCATCCCCCGTCCCGATCCAGGCAAACGTAACGGGAAGTCTGTATGCCCACGCACTCTCTGTAAGACCTCCTTTGCCAGAAGACAATTTAAAAATATGAGCATTAAATTATACAACGACATCCACAAGAAACTGAATATCGCTGGACTAAGCAGACACAAACTTAAAACCAGCCTGACTAACTGGCTCCAAAATAAAGACTATAAAAAAACGGAAGAATTACTGACATACATCGCATAGAATAACCCTCACATACAAACACACGTCACCATTATCTACATAACACCACACTTCCATACAACACAAACACAAAATCCCACTCATCCCTACACACTTACACCCACACTACAGACACTCACTTATACTCATTATCACTCAACAATCCACGGTCCACATTAGTGATATGTACATGTATATGCATTATTATCTTTTTAATTATTTTTTTTGTCGAATCTCTCTTCCAAACACTAACATCTTTACGTATGCAGACGATACAGCAATCTTCGTCTGGGGTCCGAACTGGAATGCCGTAAAGGAGATAGCCGAATATTCCCTATCTAAAATCATGAACTGGCTTTCAAACAACCTGCTGACGTTAAACCTCTCCAAAACACACTATGTTGCCTTCTCGATCAGGAAAACTAATTCCCCACCACAAAACTTCTCTATCATAGCCCATAATTGCTCTCTTCGGGAAGTCTGTACATGCCAACAAATCGAACGAGCCGAGCATGTCAAGTACCTAGGTGTATATATTGATGGTGGACTGAGGTGGGACAAGCAGATAGACACAGTCACCTCCAGAGTGAGGAGACTTATACATATATTTAAAACACTCAGAGACTGTGTTCCATTTGAGAAACTAAAACTCATCTATCTGGCCCTTTGTCAGTCCATTATTCAGTATTGCATTCCGGTTTGGGGTGGCGCTGGCAAGACGCTCCTTCTCAGACTGGAAAGAGCACAGAGAGCTGTGCTCAAAGTAATGACCAAAAAGCCTTATAGATACTCCACCGAAAAACTTTATTCAGACTGCAAGGTCTTAACAGTTCGACAGCTCTTTGTGCTCAAGTCCACCATGAGAAGACACCGAAGCATCCCCCGTCCCGATCCAGGCAAACGTAACGGGAAGTCTGTATGCCCACGCACTCTCTGTAAGACCTCCTTTGCCAGAAGACAATTTAAAAATATGAGCATTAAATTATACAACGACATCCACAAGAAACTGAATATCGCTGGACTAAGCAGACACAAACTTAAAACCAGCCTGACTAACTGGCTCCAAAATAAAGACTATAAAAAAACGGAAGAATTACTGACATACATCGCATAGAATAACCCTCACATACAAACACACGTCACCATTATCTACATAACACCACACTTCCATACAACACAAACACAAAATCCCACTCATCCCTACACACTTACACCCA